TAAAGTTTGCTTGATTGATTGCTAAAGGATGTGTAAAAATTGATATGTAAAAAGTTCAAGCAACTCTGATTATATAGAAGATTTTCAAAACTGCTGGTTTAATTAATCTTTTAAAATAATCTTTTAATCTGTTAAAAGTCTAGTTTTAATCTGTTAAAACTTCTTTTAATCCATTAAAACGTTCTTGATTATTTTACAGATTTGTTTTAACTGATACGACAACGTTTATATCAATTAAAACTCTTTACAAAAAATCTTCTAATTTATTTTAATCGATTGTTTCGTGTTTCAATCGATTAAAATACTGCAAAACTTTCTTGTAAACTTTTCCAAGTGATTTTAACTGATAAAAATCTGTTTTAATCGATTAAAACGCTTAGTACAAATTTTCTTAAGTTGATTTAGTCGATTGAAACGAGATTTAATCGATTAAAAGAGTTCTGATCAATCATAACTCAATTCTGATCGATCATACCGATTATGATCGGTCATACTGAACTCTAAGTGGTTTTAATCGATTGTTTTAAAGTTATATCGATTAAAATACTGTCAAAACACTTCGCTGAACATTTTAAGTGATTTTAATCGGTTATTTCGAAATTATATCAGTTATAAAATTGTTAAGAACATTTTAGTTGATAAAGCTTACATGCTATTAGTGAAAAATAGTTAATTCAAAAGTTTTTATCAAAATACTTTGTTTTTAACTGTTTAAACGTTTTTTAGAGGCATTTTGCAAAATCTTTTAAGTGAAGAAACCTCATGCAGCAAAAAAGATAAAAATGATTATACCTAAGCAGAGCTGCAGACACACTAATCCCTCTACTCTTTTATCTAAGTGACTTTTGACCGCTACAAAGTTGCCTTTGACTTCATCTTTGACTTCATCAAATCAACAAGATCTTTGCCAGAGTATTTCAATAAGATCTTCATCACTTTCAGTCTCCTCCTATTTGACGTTTCGTCATTGGGTCTACACTCGCTCAAGCGACAAAGTCATCGCTTGAGGGACGAAGCCTTCAAACAAGGGGGACTCTCGGGTTCTGTCTCGCTCCAGCGATGTTATGATCGCTCGAGCGACAAGTGATTTGTCACTCAAGCGATTACATAGTCGCTTGAGCGCGACTGAACCCGAGTGTCCCCATTGTTTAGTGACCTTAGATAGCGGTTAGCCGTAAACCGGCAAAAATTTACATTCGCTTTAGCCCCAGGTCAACATTCGCTCACGCGAAATTTACATCGCTCGAGCGAAATTTACATCGCTCGAGCGACACCACCTGCAAAAAATTGGGATTCTTGGGTTGTATTTCGCTTGAGCGACACTAGTCTCGCTCGAGCGATATCTGATTCACTTTTAAGAGCGGTTAAAGTGGAACCGCTATCATATATGTGTCACTTTTAAAAGCGGTTAATATTTTGACCGCTCTTAAAAGTGAACATATAATAGCGGCTCCAAGTTAACTGCTATCTAAAATATACTTTTAATAACCGCTCTCTTTAGTAGGTTTAGATAGCGGTTCCCAGAACCGCTATCTTAAGTCCCAACAATGGAAATCCAATAAGAAATACACACAAAATCAAGCAAATGATGTTAAACGAACACTCACCGCAGGGTCGCTCAAGCGACAGACAGTGATGTTCAGCTCCAACGACACGGAGGAAGACAAGCGACAATTATTTTTGACCCCAGTTGTCGAACGTATGTTTGTTTTGCGGTTGTCAAAGTATCGTTTTCGTTTAAATAAAGTTACATCTTTTATCTGTATAATTTTTGTTTGTGGAATTAAAGAAACTTCATTATAACTCTTATTCGTTTATTTGATTTAATTTTTAAATGATTTAGAATTTAGAAAGTATTTTCATAAATATAAAAACTATTTTTTAGATATGTCAAGGAATAATTTTTGTATATAACATTCTTAGAATTATAAAATCATATCTAAGTTCAAACTCGTTTGTAAATATCATAATATAAAATCAAAACCACAAGCCATCTTTCCTTAAAATTGACAAAGTTGTCAGTCAATAACATATATTAAGATTTTACATAATTTATTTTATGATTTATTCTAAAAATTTATCTATATCTATATATATCATTCTTTTTATCAACATTTTTACCAAATCAATTTATTCCTATAATTAATTGTTTCTTATAATAATTTTATACCAATTTAATTATATCTGTACATAAATATGCAAATTATTTGTAGTTATATATTTAATGATATTCATAGTTGCTTCTTAATTAAATTACATGTAATATTTAAGTTTTTAACATAGCTTTATATTCATAAATTAAAATAAACCTCTAGCAGTCAATAGAAATAAAACTTATTAAATTATTATTTATCCAATACAACTTTGTATCTTATAATTTATACAAACTTTATTGGCATCTTAATATCAATATACAAAGAGCCCTGTGACTAAATTTAACAAGTATAGAGACCTTTTAAAAAATAATCTTAATTATGGATAATAATTTATTATGATAATTATGATTAATTCAAAATATAAATAAATTTAATGCATTTTTAAAATAAATTTACATTACATTGCTAATGTTTTAAGAGAGAAAAAAATTCACATTCCTGTATTTTTTTTTTAATTTAATCCTGCACAATTCCAGAAAGGATATCAATAAACAAAAACTTTAGTTTCTGAAGACAAAACACTGTAACTGGTATTAAATATGTTAACTGTAATATTTCGTACTACAGAAATAAAGAAAAAAAAATCTTAGATTGCAAAATAAGTTTTTAAAAGTGTAGTGTATGATTATACTTTAATATTATTATAGATTCATTTCTTTTAATTTTAAACTAACCGTTGTTCTGTATTATCATTTTATTTCTTCATAATTAACGTGATAAATTCTTCAAATTTAAAAGAATCAAGTGAAATTTATTATTATTTTGTTCTTATTTCTTTCTTTCAATCATGATAAAGAGAATCAAACTGAATCCTGGATCACCAACATTCCAAGACTACGTCTAATTGTCTATTTCCATTTAATCATGATAAGAGAATCAAATTGAATCCTTGATCACCAACATCACAGGACTAAGGTCAATCTTATCTTAACTAAGGTGGCACCGACCTAGAGTCAATAATTAAAAAGTTGAAATAAAATTAGACATTTTAACCTGAAACTCGCTTAAATATTCACCTTATATAAACCTAACCTGCACATAATTTATTTAGGAGGTCATTCACAGATTTTAACATATTACAGCCACAATCCACTTTACAATTATAAGTGTTTATTTATTTTCTTTCTTGATATTATGCATCCTTATTTGTTAACTTTTAATCACCATTAGTAATGTTTTTCTCAGTTATTTTATTTTATTTTAAATTAACAATGATTAAAGAAGATTGATTAAGAAAGATGGTGACATAACCACATGAATCAAAATATTTAATTATTCAAAGTGTAAATGTTAAAAATAAGTGAAAGAATTATGAAATTAGGAATTGGACTTACTTAAACAAAAAAATAACAATAAAATATCTATTTGAACTTCATAAACTTGATTGGAGTTATCTACTAAGATGTAGCTTCGAATTTATCTAAAATTTTAAAAAATACTGTCCCGCCAACTACTGATGATGCAACATGGAAGGCTTGGTCATTGTTTGCGTTTGACAGTCCAAGAAAGTCCAAGGCATTATAAGTTTATAACCCACAATTAGGTAATGTAGTAGCATACAGAATTTGGACTAAGTTTATTCTATAAATTTAGTGGGTCATCTCCCACTTTTTTTTAAATAGACTTTTTCAGAATATATTCTTACATTTTAAAAGCCTATTTCAAAATAAATGAGGGGTGACACAAAATTAATGATGCTACAAGAAACACCTGCTAAAGCCTAATCATCTATATCTTGCCATATGCCATTAACACTGAATAATCTCTTGAAGAAATTGAACTAGGAACCACGATTATTTCCGAAAATTTAACATACTCCTATGAAACGCAGCCACTACCAGAACCAACAAAGAATTAGGAAAGTTAAGTTTGTCAACCTAAGAAAAAGAAGAGAGCTCTGAAAACTGTTTACTGACATTTATTAACGTTAGTTGGTTTGGACAACAAAGAAATATGTAGGATTCTCATAGTCGTAATGTTAATGACTGTTTAAAGATAAAGTTTAACCAAGTTTACCAACATTTGATCACAGAGTAGTTTTATTAAAATGAGTGAAAAAATATGTGGGAGAGGAGCTATTTGGATAAAAATTATCAATTTCAAAACAAGCTAAAAAATTAAACTACCGAATTGATTCCCTGAGTTGCAAGTTCGTTCCACTTATAGAAAGTGACTGCCATGATCTTCACCATTATATAAAGAATTGTGCTACCTTGCCTTGTTAATGTTGTTAATCATCAAAGTGAAGTATCACTCTTCTGTGACATAATCTTCCAAATTAATTATCATTATCTAACCAGTTTAATCATATACAGGCTTTTTGGTAAATCATAAACAGAAGGAAACAAAGAAGCTGGCAACTAAAAGTCAATTGAAGAAGAAACTGATGATTATACACATGACATATGATACAACCATAGAAAACTAGTGGTTATACCTGAAAAAACCAAATAACTTCTGCAACATCTTTGGTTCTGTTCATACATCATATCAGTAGTTCATGCTAAGTTATGGGTGGGATGTATGAAGAAAGCAATCAAGCACGGCAAAATTGAGAAGGTAACATTTATTTTCATTCATTGATAACCTACGTGTCTGAATTGTTTATCTGCTGCAGCAACAAATAAAAGGATAAATAAAAACAGTTTTTGCCGTTCCTTGAACCAAAGAACAAGTATATCATGTAAGTGACGAATGTGCTAAAGGGAAATAGGGAGAGGAATTTCAACAGGTTGTCACTGAAACTCACTCATGACATATGCAAAATTGCAGATTGAGCAAACATAAAATTTCAACTTTCAAAAATCCAATTCGGGTCCTAAAAAGGAAAAGCATGTGGAAGACCTACTTCTTCTTAGAATGCTTCCCTTTCTTTTGAGAACCTTTGCCCTTTGCGTTATCCATTGAAGAATCCATGTTATTGTCCTTCAAATTAATGGCACCCTGGCTGAATTCTGAAGACAGGATCTTAGCAATCTCAGGAAAACCAACACTGTTTCTTCCACGCAATAGCGTTTGCAAATTCTGCTCCCAAATCTTGTCCTTCTTAATACCAGGACTCTGCACACCAACCATATCATATCAATACCCTAAATTCATCGTTACCAAATAGTAACCACAGTTATATAATCAAGTGCGAAATAGAATTCGGGATAAATGAGTTAGGTAAGGGGAACGAACCCGGAAATTGTAGAGTTTGATGAACTTGGAGAGAATAAGGGCAATCTCGGAACGAGACTGGTGAGGGATGCCAAGGAAGGTGCAGAGTTCACTGGAAGATTTGCGGATCTTGGTGTTGCCGGTGCCTGTGATTTCTGCCACCGCTTTCGCCACCGTGCACATGCTCCTCCGACCCAATGACCCCATTTTCGCGACGTGTTGCGGCTGCTACCACTTTTGCGTTCTTCTAAGTTATAACCCCAACTCTACAAATCAGTTGTAAGAACATTGTGTTCGTTAACATAAATTTAAAATACCTAGGTAAATTCAGGTTTTAATGGGTTTTGATATTAGTTTAGTTTTATATTTTTTTAATATTTTTTGTTTTTTACCGTTCTCTGTAATTTTTTTTTCTTGCGTTTGTTCAATTTTTAAAATTAAATAATAATTATAAAATGGAAAGAATTATAAGATAAATAGAAAAATATTTAAATGACTTTTATAAAGTTCATTTTTTTATTAGACTTAAATGCTTGTTTTACCATCGGTAGTTCGTTTCAACATTTTCTCTTCGTAATATAACCATGTTTTAAAAATATGTATTTTTTTAGTTTTATCAAAATCAAAATAGAAAAGTGTAAACTTTTTTTCTTATATTTTACTATCCAAGTTTCAATTTGACAAATTTTCTTATTAATATTTTAAAATTACTCATGTTTCACCTCTTGATGTGATGTCCGTTCACACGAGTATGCAATAAAAAAATTATAATTAAAAAACATGTTTTTTTTTTCATTTAAATAATAACTAATGATGATGTTTAGGGTTTACTTAGTTTTCTTTTCCTTTACTTTTCGTTACAAATTCCTGATTTTAGGTCTCAATCTGATTTCTTATTCCCACTGTAATTTTTCAAGATTAATAATCGGAATACTGATAATATCAATATTCATATCACTTAAAATTTTACAACAACTATACTTTTATAATCTTCCTTTTGATGCTTCATCTTTATCTACTATATCATTAATATCAAGCAGGTTCAGATTTATCCAAATTTTAGAAAAAGGTGGTGATTATTTAACAATCTTAATAATCAATATAATTAATAGACAACTCAAAATATGTAATGTTGTTTGGATTATCAAACAATATTTTTGTTTTAAAAAGTTAAATCCTAACGATAATGAAATCCAATTATGACAAATAAATTAAATTTCATCCTCTTTTATCATCCAACGGGCAACATATTTTAATGTTTAATGGTTGATATCAAAATAATATCGATGGTGTTGTAAAAATTGTTTTAAAGAATAAGGATCAATTATTGTATAAATATTCATCACGCGTTGATTCTACATATTTAAGTAATTACAAATTTTAGATAATTAGAAATATACTTAATTTATATTGTATATTAATATCTAAATTTTATCTTATAAACTATTTTTTTATAAAATGGAGTTAAATACATATCTATTTTGATTAAAATATTAAATTTTTTCTAATGAGATATGGTACTTTATTAATTTCTTTGAAAAAAAATACAAATCTCATTAAGTCAACTTGTTAGATGACGTAAGAGATATTTGTATTTACCATATAAATAATACATTTATAATCACATATTACAAAATAATAAATAAAACCTAAATCCTAACAATAAATTTTACAATTATAAAACTGTAATCACGGATAAAAAAACAATACAAAAATTCCATAGCTAGTTTTAAAGAGGCCACCGTCACATGCATTTTTACATATATCAATCTTATCAAAATTGTCAGGATTTTTTTCTTCTCATAAATTGAAAGTAAAATACTAATAAATAATAAGAATAAAAATTAAATAACAAGTAATAATTATATATAAAAAAAAACTAAAAGTTGTTTATTTATATAAATAAAACAATGAATATATAAACCACACAATTATTCAAAATAAGATTTTAGTGAAAATTAAATTAAATTTTAATTAAAATTTTAAAACTTAACATAAATTAAATTTAAATTAAAATCAATACTGAATATTTTTAACAATATATATATATATATATATATATATATATATTATGTATAAACCTTTTAAAAAGTTAAGAAATAAATTTAGAAAATAAAAAAATTATAAATTTTAAACAATATAATAAATGGAATTCAGTATTCATAAACTATAATTTCAAAAATTGTAAATCCTACTAGAAGTTAAAAAAAAAAAACTTTATCATGACTCTTTTGATTAAACAAATTATCTACTAAAATATACATCTAAAGACGAGAACAAAAAGGATCAATTGTATTTAAAAACATAATTAATTATGTAACTATCAGCAACATAAATTTGACTATAATAAACAAAATGAAAGTAAATTTAGTGTTTTGCAAAACATTTTCAAAAAGAGTTATGAGAAATTTTTATTTAAAAATAAAAATAAAAATTTTATAACAATTAAAATTTAGTCAAAATAAAGACTTTCTAAAAACAAAACCAAACCAGAAGCGGGAAACCAAGGAGGAGAGAAAACTCGAAAATTGAAGAAAGAAAAGAAACATTGTAAAATTCGACTTCTACATTCTCTAGGCGTCGGGTTCCACTCAAACGCGAACACGTCATCCTCTACGAACTCCCTTTAGATTAACACCCAATCAAAATTTGCCACGTCATTCATAAAATGCACGCACTAGTAACGATTGAAAAGTTCCGTGGGATCACCGAGGAGGGAGAGAACCCAGAAGCCTAAACCCTTGCAGTCACGCTCTAGGGTTTCGTAATTTCAAAAAAAGTTTTTGCAGAGCGATCATGACGCTAACTAGGGTTTTCGGTGTGGCCGTGGGCAGGGCCTTCATGGCGGCGGCGGCGAAGAGTGCGGCCAAGGCGAAAGCTGTTCCGTCCGGCGGAGCCACGTCAAAGCCCGCGGTTAAGAAGACGGCAGTAACCAGAGGTAACAGCGGCATACAGAAGGCGGTTCCGGTCTCTTCCGAGCTTGGCAACTTTCTAGGGTCTTCTGAAGTGTCGCGAACTGTCGCTGTTAAAAAAGTGTGGGAGTACATCAAGCAGCAGAATCTTCAGGTCTTTTTTCTGTTCTGGCTCAATGCTGCTCCTTCTCTCCGCGATGTTTGTTTCGGAAGAGATTATTTTTCACATCAGGGAAATAAAATGTGTTTGGGATGTAGAGATTGATTAGTGCTTATTACGTGTTAGATAATCGTTTGTAGTGATTTTTATAGTGAGTGTTGTTTATTATGCTAGGTTTGGCTCTTGAATTTTGTCTGTTAGGTGAGATTACTAGCATTGTTGCATCAATGAGGCTACTCATTTCGTTTACTGTAGTTGTTGACATTATTTTGTTGCTTTTACCCTTTTGTTCTTTAGGGTTGAGTGTTGTGGCTATGATGAGCATTGAGTAAACCCTTGTTCTAGTTGTTGGAGCTGAATGGGATAGTCATTTTGGTCTCTGATTTCATGAAACCTTCACTTTAGTTGCTGACTTTCAAAAAGTGTTTCATTTTAGTCCTTTTTAGCTTGATCTTTTACAATTTGTTTAGCCCCGAAAAGAATTTTGCGAGGGGAACACGTTTTGTGGACTAGAGTGAAAATTTTGTGGATTCAAGTATGGACTCAAGTAAGACGCATATAATTTCAGGGACTAAAATAGGGCCTTATTTTGTTTTGTATTAATATAGTTATAGATTAGTTATTATTTAATGATGATTTGATCTGGGAAAGGGGAACCTTAATGATTCTTTATCAGCTTGTTTCTGGAGTGTCTATCTGATCCTTATCTTCGGGATAATACCTTTTCAGTTCAATAGTGAGTTGCTAACGACAATCTTGATCATCGTTGGCTTTTTTCCTTCATTTATGCTGGCATCTTTCTGCTGTATGTTTTTCCTTCTTTTTTTTTTTTTTGTATTTTGTTTTCTCTTTCAATAAGTGGAAGCTTTCATGGTAGTATTTATACAAGTAGGATAATTTATTTTGTATGTCAGTGTTGGCTGGCTATCTTTACAATGCATGACAGAGCTATTCTTTTGTAGAATCCTTCAAATAAGAAGGAGGTCTTTTGTGATGCAAAGTTGAAGACCATTTTTGGTGGGAAAGATAAGGTTGGGTTCACAGATATTGATACATTGCTGTCTAACCATTTTGTGAAATCAGCCTGATATTCAGCTTTGATGGTTCACTTAATGATGGTAACTTGTTCTAATACATTAAATCAGGTATTTGGTCTTCAAGTACATGGTTTGTAACCAACCGCTAAGAATCCTGGAACTTTGTGATATCGGACTTGTGGTGGTTGGGGGGGGGGGTTTGAAAGTGGTGTTATTTTGTCTGCTTTCACATTGTTAGGGTTTTAGTATATATATGCATGATCTTTTCAAGCCACATCTGTTATTCAGCATTGTTATTAGAATCTTACATTCAGCTATTCGCTATCGACATCACATGATTTGACATATAGCGAGTTTGGATTTGAATTAGGACGTGTTTTTCGAACAAACCGATATCAAAATTTCAAAATGACGAAGTACTTTTTGCTTCAAAGATGACTTATGTTCACAACAGTGAATGCTCAACCAAATAGGCTCATAATTTGACTGGTAAATAATTTGCATCACATGAATCCAAGACGACTTTGCTATTCACAAATGAACTAATGTGATTTTGTGTTATCCATATAAATTACACTGATTACTATTTGTCCTTTACTTCCAATACTTTTTTTTCTTAGAAATAGAAAACATAAATTATTAAAGGAGCCGAATGCAACTTGTCTTTATGTGCTGTATTTGGCTTTATTTTCCAACTTGCTTTATGATCATGTTTCTTATACAAAATTATCTCATTGAACACTATATTATTCATAAAAACAATGGAGGATGATTCGAGTATCTGGGGATAGGGGTGAACATATTGACCAGTGGTCCATCCTATACTATTTATTGAATCCATTGGATTAATCCAAGACTAATAATTCGATATGTATTTTTTTTTTAACATATTTTCCTCGTTACACCTCTATACACCGATGATTTACTAACAATCTCTTTTATCACTTATGATCCTCAGCAAGTAGTTACCTTACACCAATTATAAACTTTGCTCAGGTAAGCAATTTTAACCAAAGTCCCATATCTAACTAGGTACATAGAATCACTTATCTAACTTATCAAAGGATGGAGACAGGGTTTTACAACTCTGCAAATTTCACTACTAGGCAAAACACATGCTATATGATCCACTAAGATTGAAAGGAGATTGAGGCTTCTTATGATTAAACCGAAGTGTCAGTGGAGATTCTGGGGAATAACTGCGACGGTGAAAACTCACGAATATTAAAAATAGAGAAAAATTACTCTTGATTCATGAAAGGTGCTTATGTCTTCGTTTAATGCCCCCAAGGGTAGGAACCTCCAGTGGTGGATGTGGCGGAGGATCTAGGAATCTCTAGTGGTGATGTGGAGGGTCACCAGATAATGGAAATGGAGACAAGAAGAAAGAGTGAAATAATCTGTTAAAAATAATCTGCAATGAAATAGATTAATCGAAACGGTAGTTATTATTAGTGTATGGTGGACCAATTATGAAACGGTAGTTGAAATCATTATATCAACTAATCATTATCTTTGTAATCGTAGATTATCGTAACTGTTATTTATATTCACATCAAGTATGAAGCTTAAGTCTAAATCAACTTTAGATTGATAATCAAATTAAACCTAACATAATACAAATAAAATGAAATTACGAACATAAATGAAAAAGTAAGGATAGAAAACATAAATCGATTATTCATTATGAATATAAAATAATTTTATTCTATTCTTCAATCACAAAAGATATAGAATAAGATTTTTAACTTTTACAATAATTATCTAAAAGTTCTAAGAATATATGGCATAAAAGTTTTTTAAACATGATTCACAATTTTAGCTATCTCATTAATAAAAATTGAAGCTATTTGCTCAATAATCCTCTAAACTTAATAGTTTTAGAAGTGCCGATTCCAAAAAAGGTTTTTAGGAGCAAAACCAAAAAGACTTCCTCTATTAAAGAAGTACAAATTAAAAAAGGGCAGCCCAACAGTTAATCGAAAGTAATACCGAAAACAACACTAAATACAACAATCACTTACTGTATAATAAATAAATAACCTTCATTGACGTATATGGGCGCAGTGAACATAACGATGCCACCTGTGTTACTATTTTGGCATCCCGCTTAAGAAGACCTACTGTGCTTGTGCTAATAATTTCTAACTATTCATCGCTTGAAGTTCCTCCTCCTTGGATTGTGATGTTTCTCACCATGATCAGAGTAATCGGATGAATAAGAACGGTCATATCTACCTTTTTTACTTCTATGATATCCATCGACACTAGAATCCTTCGATGAATACTGTTTTTTTCTGTTCCCTATATCCAAATTATTCTCGGGATGCTCAGAACCCTTGGGCGTATGACAATACGTCTGTTTCATTCTTCTATTTCGATCATTCCTGTCCACATCAGAATCTTCAGATGAATAAGAATGCACACCTCCGCTCTTCTGATTTCCTTGGTAGCGATCAAAACCAAAATTTCTGTTACGCTTTTGAGAATCGGAATGGGTGGTTTTTGAGTGCTTATGGCTGCTCCTTTTAAACTTGGGGGTATTGGAATCTGAGGAATAAGAAACCACATCCCTGCTCTGGTTATCAGTATGATCACAGGCAGGACCAGAATCCTCATCCGAATATGAACTTCTTTTTCTGGTATCTCTCCTCTCATGCTTTTGTACATTCTTTCTACTTTGATCATCCCTCTGACTGTCAGAATCTTCAGATGAATAAGGATGCATTTTTTTGTCATGTTTACTCTTACCATGTCTAGGACGGTCGGAACCTTTGAACAGAAAGGAACGCTCTTGTTTAGACCTACTTTGATAGTTCCTGTAATGGTGAGAATCTTCGGATGGATAGAAACTCTTGTTTCTGCTCCTTCCATGACCTTCTTCAGAAACTGAAGTTTCTGATGAACTTGACCTTACACGATCTTGCTTCTTTTTATTTACCTTAACCTTTTTTTTCTTACGCCTCCTCTCCCCTTCGTCGGATGATGCTTCACTATGTGAATTTATTTGTTGCTGCCTTTTGTGTTTTCTTTTTTTGGACTTTTTTGGTTTCTTAGAAAAGTTGGTTAATAACTCAGGTATATTATCCATACCCAGAAAACCTGAAAAATAGGCAATAATTATGATTGCTTTTGGACGAACATCCAAGACTTCATAATGGTATATACCAAATAAGTTGAAAAGTAAGTTGCAAGCAGATACCTCCATACTCATCAAATATGTCATCGGCAACTATCTGCTGGTTGGGATCATCTGGTTTGAAACCTCCACGAGGAGGACTGATTCCTGGCCTCTGCTTGAGCTCCCATTTTAGGGGCTGCATCAATTGCCAAACATGATAAAATACATGTCAGATATTATATCATCTTTTAGGAGAAAAGGTAATACACATCTTCAATCATCAGTTGCCAAACAGTTTGCACGACACATAAAAATGCATTTCCCAATAACAAATTGAGTGCAATAACGGCCATTGGTGGGAGGCATGCTAAAATTTTGTTTAAGGACTGCAGAAATCCTGAAGAAAATCTAAAATTGTCCAGCTGATGTTGAGTTTTCAAAATCTTCCTGAACTTGAATTCTCCACCCTTCATCTATAATGGTTTTTTTTTTCCTTTCCATGTTCTAACCTAACTTTTTCATCCAGATATCTGCATGTTTGGTTTTGATTATTTCACACCAAATCTCTCTCTAGAACATTTTCGTTTTCATCTTTGACAAAAGTAAAACTAGCTAACCCAAATACTCATCAGAGATTGCATATAGTCAACAATTAGTTGCAAGTGATTTGACGCTTCCATAGATCTCAAAATAATCAGAGATTGGGATTGAAATAAAGGAGGATAAGCAGAAATGACACTTATGCAAATGTAATTGACAGCATAACATCAATTTGTGATCATATGTAAGCCATAATACCATGGCAGAAGTTGTATTAATTTAGGATAAGTATATTGCAACTCAGTAGCTCCAAACAGTGTAATTGAGTTTAAGAGCAAATGTATTATTTATTTAATTAAAGAGTGAAGAAATCAAAGAATATGAAGAACATCTACTTTCAAAGTTCAAATTAATAAATTTTTCAACAGAAAAAAGTGATTACCAAAATTTAACGAAAGTAAACTTTACTGACACATAAGGGTAATTCACAAAGTCAAAGAATGAATTATAAAATGTTCAAAATGATGGTCCAATTAAATGAGCAACTGACCTCAGTAGGATCTGTGTGAGCAAGGATGGCATTCAAGGGATCATCTCTTTTTAATCTGCTTTCCTCATTAGGCATTATGACATCCTTCAAGGGACATTCACGATCACCACTTTGGTGACCATAGTTCCCACATCTTAAACATTTTACATTGCGGACTTCAACTCCGAAAGGTTTCACCCTGGCAGGAACTCCTGTTTCCAACCTAAAAACCATTCAGTTACTAAAAGCACAATTAAATAGGTTCACAGCAGATTATGGGGTCTAACAGCAGCAATTAAACGTGAAGAATACACTTCCATGTCAAAATATATAACAAAAAATTGGTTTAGCCACACTCTAATGAAAGATTAGAATCCGTGGCAATCTGGTATAGTTTTACCAATCCATCAAATACCAACACACTGATCTAGGATTCACTTGATATAACACAGATGTCAGTCACTTAGAACACCTGTATTGTGATTTAACATGTACCTCACAATCATGATATATAACTACAGATAATTTTTACCCCCTGTACCCCACAAGTAAGAAATGCTCTTTGATGTCAACATCCAAAATTGTTTATAAAAGGAGGAAAAAATAATAGTTTCCTCCCGTGAATCTATCACTTCCAATAAGATTAAACTTCAAACCTAAATGTTACTTCCACTAAAGAATGGCGTAGACCAATTAAAAGGTGGTTTGTGCACGTTTCTAAATCCTACTTTCATCAACTTCTACTGAGAAAAGAAAAAAAGAAAAACCTTAGAAAAAGACCAATAAGTCTACTCTATCCTTTCAAGTTTTAAACATTGGACAGAATATAGAATCCATCTTTGTCTACAGTCTAAATTGGAA